TCCCAAAAAGTAAACATCTTCTGATTTCCTGGCTGCATTCTGCGTTTGCAGTAATCTTTGCACCTAGAAATACAAAGTCTGTCACTGCCTCCACATTTTCTCCCTCTATTTGCCAGTTATCAATCAGTCTTGTTGCCATAATCGTGGGTTTTTTTTGTTTATTCCGCTTTACTTCTCGATTCACTTGAGGGTCACTATAAGTCGGAACTGAATGTCAACAAAAACAACATCATCATGCACCAAATCTTACTTTGTTAGCCTTGCATGGGATAGATACAGTTATAGTTAGATATTTGGTTTGAAAAGCAGGTCTTTGAAATTAAAATAGTTTGAAGGTCATATCTACTGTAACTTCCATATAACCCTCTTTTTTACCCCAGAGTTCTTTCAGCTCCCAACAAACCCTACGGTGGCTTTCCTTAGTGCGAAACTCATCTTCTTGAGAAACTTTATCAAGTGACATTGCTGCCCGGCGTGCTTGCAGCTGTTTGTTTATGCTGCATAAATGAGAACTGCTGATGTCTCATATAACCTTCCTTTAGTTTTGTAAGAGGGTGTTTCACAACACTTAAGACTGTTTGTTTTTCACTGTGGCCCAGAGGGACGTGTTTGTTAAGGAAGGCTTATATATGAAATGGTCAGTAAAACATATAATCTCTGCACTATTTATAACTGTGGTCTGGTACCAAGAATGCACAAAGTTGCTTACTATCTATGTAGACTGCTCTGCTACTCTCTCCTCTTTCCCACCTGTCTTTTTCTGTGTTGTTCTGTTGCTGAACATCTTGGAGTTGCATTTCCCAGAACCAGGGTATGGCAACGACCTGGAAACTCAGCTGTAAAGATAATATTTATTTATTTATAGTGTCAGGAGCGAACTAAAACAGTTGTATGCATTAAAAAACAGACAACAAACAAACAAAACACAAATTTGCAGACTTGGTATTCTATTAAATGTCCTTTGACCAGTAGCTGGCCACTTTGAGTGCCTCTGGTGTTGCTGCAAGAAGGTCCTCCATTGTGCATGTGGCAGGGCTCAGGTTGCATTGCAGTAGGTGGTCTGTGGTTTGCTCTTCCCCACTCGCATGTCGTGGATTCCACTTTGTAGCCCCATTTCTTAAGGTTGGCTCTGCATCTCATGGTGCCAGAGCGCAGTCTATCGCCTTCCAAGTTGCCCAGTCTTCTGTGTGCCCAGGAGGGAGTCTCTCATTTGGTATCAGCCATTGATTGAGGTTCTGGGTTTGAGCCTGCCACTTTTGGACTCTCGCTTGCTGAGGTGTTCCAGCGAGTGTCTCTGTAGATCTTAGAAAACTATTTCTTGATTTAAGTCGTTGGCGTGCTGGCTGATACCCAAACAGAGGATGGGCCAGAGATGTCACTGCCTTGGTGGTGATTCGGATAGAAACCTGTATCTAAAAGATGATTTGAATTTCGCAAATGGCTTGCATAATAATGTGTGCTTAAATATTTTTCCTTATGTCTTTTTTCAATAGCATGATACACTCACACCAAAGCTGAAGCATTATTTGTTTCCCCCCATTAGTAATTTCAAACATTATTATCTCTTTTTAAAAAACACACATACAGGAGTCAGATAAGCATTGTTTGACTCTTAGAACCAAAATGGCAATTACTCACTGACCTTTCTTAATTTAGCAACCATTAACTCAATTCAGATTGCCCATTATCCAGCCTGAAGCCTTACCTAGGGCCAGTCCATTAATGTTGCAAAATTAAACAGGGTCATGGGAGATTGCTTCTTCTATCCATTAGTATCTCTCATATTGAAGTTTTTGACCTTGGCACCAATATACTCTAACGATTATGACAAACAGAACTTGTCCAGACCATCTGGAGAGCACAGTATGGATTAAAGCTGAATATTGGCACTTTTTAAAAAAGTGTGAAGCAGCTCTGGATTCAATAAACTCTCATGTTTGCAACCCTTACCTTAAAGCAGAGCTCTCCAAACGTTTCATATTGGTGACACACTTTTTTAGACATGCATCATTTTGCAACACAGTAATTCAGTTTTGCTAGCAAACCAAAGATTAAATCAACCCGTTATAAAAGATATGAACACACACACACACACACACAATAACACACACACAATAACATTGAAATATTTGGGCTCACAAGATTTATCTCATTAAAACCTTCTTTTATATATATTTAAATATACTATTGTTTATTTCACATAGACTCAGAGGTTTCTCATTATGTTTGTGTGACACACCTACACACTGCACTTGACACACAGTTTGGAAAGCTCTGCCTTAAAGAAATGAAGTAAAAAGCACAACAGGTCAAAATTCGCACCAGGCAGCCCACTTATCTCATTATGTTTGTGTGACACACCTACACACTGCACTTGACACACAGTTTGGAAAGCTCTGCCTTAAAGAAATGAAGTAAAAAGCACAACAGGTCAAAATTCGCACCAGGCAGCCCACTTATATTTGAATATTGGATAGTACTGTTTGTGTGATCTAGACCATTTATGTGTTGTCGAAGGCTTTCATGTCCTCTGCAGGAGTCTACCATATACCATGCAGTTGTGGACAAGTATACATAGGGACCACCAAATGCAGCATTGCCCAAACACGAATCAAGGAACATGAAAGGCACTGCAGACTACTTCAACCAGAGAAGTCAGCCATAGCAGAGCACTTGATGAACCAGCCTGGACACAGCATATTATTTGAGAACACAGAAATGCTGGACCACTCTCACAACCACCATGTCAGACTACACAGAGAAGCCACTGAAATCCACAAGCATGTGGACAATTTCAACAGAAAGGAGGAGAACCATGAAAATGAACAAAATCTGGCTACCAGTATTAAAAAAACTCCAAAATCAAGACAGCAAATAAAGAGCAACATGAAAAAGTAGGGGAATTCCAGACAAGAATCAATCAGGGCCAGCTAAAACAAACCTGCCAAACAAAGGATTCCCCCAGGCAGGAAGCAGTCAGGCTTTGAAGCTGCAAGGCCATTAAATACTAATCAAATCGGCCAATTGCAACATTCACACTTGCCTCAAGCAAACAAGAGTTCTTTCTCCCCCCTGGACATTCCACAGATATATAAACCTCACTTGCCTAGTTTCCAACAGACCTCACAACCTCTGAGGATGCCTGTCATAGATGTGGGTGAAACATCAGGAGAGAATGCTTCTGGAACATGGCCATACAGCCTGGAAAACTTGCAGTAACCCGCTAGACCATTTATTTCTCTAATACACTTCCTTGTTCCTCTATGGAAATTAGGGAATCAAGATAGGAGATAGTGTACAATAGGGTTGGACTGCGTGAATGGATGGGTGAATGGGAAAATCGGTGTATGGTAACACTTGTTGTTTCAGTGAAATACCCTCTGTCTACACTGCTATGGTTCCATAGTATTTCTTTACTTTGTCTTCATTTTAATGTAAAATTTCTGAAATCAGTTTTGGACTGAAATTTACAATGTATAGCTTTGTTTAAGAATGAGATAATACTTGGCATAGGGAACATGGTCTAATTCCGGAGGATTTGGTGCACAGATTCTACAATTCCTGATCCTAGGGCATGAGGGGTTAGGGGAGTTTTGATTTGAAACAGCAGTCTCTAAGGGAACAATGTACATGAAGCAAGAGAAGAGAACATGTATGAATATGCATTAATCCAAAGTCAAGAAATGATTAAAAATGGAATATGGTGATGACTTGTCAACATGTCACTGTTAATCTGAAAATAAATTTAAGTAGTTTAGAATTATGGAAAATCAGATATGGAAGATTTTGGGTACAGTATCACAGTGCTTGGAAAATAAAGTCAAAACAGAGCCATTTCTTGTAGTTTCTGCATATTGAGAATGACAATCACATGTGACCTCTAAATATTATTGGACTGGAAAACCCAGCAGCTCTAGTCAGCAGAACTAAGTGACCTATGTTCTCTGGTACTACCATTGATTCTGAAAAGGATTGGCAAGGAAAGAAGATACGGGGTCACACCTTCTGCTGTCAAGAATTCAATGACTACAATAACTGCACATTGCTTAAGTCGTATTGACTGACCTTCTGTGCAGAGTTCCATTCTTCACACTTTAACAACACAACTGTTCAATGCTAAGATTGTAGAGGAGAGAATAATAATAATAATAATAATAATAATAATAATAATAATAATTTCTGTGTTCTCAAATAATATGCTGTGTCCAGGTTGGTTCATCAAGTGCTCTGCTATGGCTAACTTCTCTGGTTGAATTCCTCCAGGCAGGAAGCAGCCAGACCTTGCAACTGCAAGGCCATTAAAGGTTAATCAAGGTGGCCAATTGCAACATTCACACTAGCTTCAACAGTCAAGAGTTCTTTCTCCCACCCTGGACATTCCACAGATATATAAACCCCACTTGGCTAGTTGCCAACAGACCTCACAACCTCTGAGGATGCCTGCCATAGATGCAGGTGAAACGTTAAAAGAGAATGCTTCTGGAACATGGCCATACACCCCGGAAAACTCACAGCAGCCTAGTGATTCTGGCCATGAAAGCTTTTGACAACACATTGAACATCTAATATTTGTGCTAGCATTTTGCAATGGAGCATTTTATATCTAAACTATTTTCTTGGAAATTCATAGAGTTTACAGTGAATGTCAAAACAATAGACAAACAATGACTCTACCACGGAAAACAAAAACATGTGCTGTATATTGGAGGCCTGGGCTTCCTTCCAGATTGCCAGGCACTGCTAATGTGTATTGGCTCCCCCACCTGTCAGCCTTGCGGATACTGATAAGCAAAAGACCTTCATTACTACTATCAGGATAGGGTTTGATTATTAACAGGCACTAAATTAGGGAATCTGTTTGCTCAATTCCTGGAAGACAAGAAGCCAGCTGTTTGGCCAGGCTTTGAAACAGAATGTCAGCAAATGAAAGTGCTTGGCTTCTTTATATAACTTTGTTTCTCTCCCCATCCCCCTTGTTTCCCCTTCTCTTTGCCAAACAGGTTCTTGGGTGGAACTCCACTTCAGCAGCAATGGGAATGGTAACGGTGGCCAGCCTGCAAGCCAGGAACAAGTGCCAGCTTCAGTTTCGATTTACAATGGTGACATGGAGAAAATCCTCCTGGATGCCCAGCATGAGTCTGGGAGGAGCAGTTCACGAGAGAGTTCACACTGTGACAGGTACAAACTGTCCGGCTTTGGCTTTTTTTGAAAAGGATTTTCACTGCATGTGTGTGAAAGGTCTTGTAGTTTGGGAAACGAGGAGATGATGTAATTTGCCTCTCTTGTTGCCATCAGTGCTCACTCTGATTCATTGGACAATAGCCCATGGTGGCTTGACCTTGTACTCCCACTGCTACTCCATTCTCATTGCATTTTATCTTTTGACTTACCGTAATGTGAAATTCTCCGTAGACAGGGCCTAACAACAACAACAACAACAACAACAAAACTTTATTTATATACTGCTCTATCTCCCCGAGGGGACTCAGAGCGGTTCCCAGATAAAACATAGAACATACAAAGTAAAAACAACATAACCACAAGATTAACAAAACAAAATATGCATAAAAACTGTTGCCGTAATACACATATATTAAAAGTTCTCCTTTGGAGAATGCAAGCACAAGAGCTTTTGAGGAATCCATAGCTCTGCTTCTGTGAGACCAATGGAGGGGAGGGAGGGGCAAAGAGATGGCTTCCCCCCATTCTAACCAGGCCATAAAACTGACCTCAACTGAAAGCAGTTTAGGTGATTGACATCAACCTCAGAGCTAGGTTAGATAAATCAGGAGACAGTTGTAGAGAGGAAATGGATCTAGGCTCCAGAACAGCTTTGTATGTTGTAGACTGCAACATCTTCCAGTATGCCCACTCTGCCACCCTGACACAGTATTCCTCCTCTCTGACAGTGGTGGTAATGCAGCGCTTCTCAACCTGGGGGTTGGGACCCCTGAGGGGGTCGTGAGGGGGTGTCAGAGGGGTCGCCAAAGACTATCAGGAAACACAGTATTTTCTGTTGCTCATGAGGGGTTCTTTGTGAGAAGTTTCACCCAATTCTATCGTTGGTGAGGTTCAGAATGCTCTTTGATTGTAGGTGAACTATAAAGCCCAGCAATTACAACTCCCTAATGACAAAATCAATCCCCCCAATCCCATCACTATTCAAATTTGGGTGTATCAAGTATTTGTGCAAAATTTGGTCCAGTGAATGGAAATATCAGATATTTACATTATGATTCCTAACAGTAGCAAAATGACAGTTATGAAATAGCAACAAAATAATGTTATAGTTGAGGGTCACCACAACATGAGGAACTGTATTAAGGGGTTGCGGCATTAGGAAGGCTGAGAAACACTGTGGTAATGGATGAAGAGATTTTCATGAGGAAGCCTGGATGGGATCACTTGACGTTGGATTTCCCCTAAGGGAATAACTCCAATCCAACTGTTCAATGGTTTGGGTAGCTAGATTGAAACCAAGCCAGTCATTGTCTAGAACAGTGTTTCGCAAACTCTGTCTCTGATTAATATAAACATGTTGGTTTTCCCAAAAAAGTTCAATGGTTAATCATTTGTCACAGTTCTTATCAATGTCAGCAGTTTACTATGGCAGGTCAACCATTACAGTTCTCATTAGCAACTTTTAAATTACAGTTCAGCAAGCAGGTATTAATTATTAAGAATGGTGGCTTCAGCCAAATTAGGCCCCATCCATACACCTTTCATATAATTCCATCCATACTCAAACATATCAAATCCACATATATCAAATCTGCGCATCATATTTCATCGTGACATCCAAGCCAGCTTATCAACTGTTAGGAATTGTGGAAGGTGAAATCCAAAACAATTGGAGGAGCACTGTATTGTCGAATGCTTTCATGGCTGGAACCACAGGGTTGTTGTTGGTTTTTCGGGCTATATGGCCGTGTATTAGAAGCATTCTCTCCTGACATTTCACCTGTATCTATGGCAAGCATCCTCAGAGGTCAGGAAATGTCAGGAGAGAATGCTTCTAGAACACGGCCATATAACCTGAAAACCCAACAACAACCCAGAAGAGCACTGTATGAGAGAATGCTTCTAGAACACGGCCATATAACCTGAAAACCCAACAACAACCCAGAAGAGCACTGTATGAGAAATTCTGGTCTAGAAGAGTATAACTTTTCAAAAGCAAGGGTATGTGGTAACAGTAGACACTAAGTTGAATGTTTTAAAGACAGACAATGTGGTGAAATATTTAGAATTCTGGACTGGAATTTGGAGGTCTAAGTTCAACTGCTACTCAGACATAAAAGTCACAGACTGACTTTGGACCAGTCTCTCCTCTTTGTAGGTTTTATTATGTGGCTAAAGCAGGGAAGAGCAGAGTCGTATGCAATGCCTAAAGTGAATTGAGTGGTTCACCAACCCTGTAAACAAAGGTTGCTTATTAAAGAAAGTGGAAGGTTTTCCTGAAATGTTTATAACATTCTCCTTCTAATCAAATTAATATATACTTTAAATTAAACAAGATCTCTTCCTCTTCAGCCTCAAGTTTATAGGGTGAATTGGAGAGTATTCCCAGTCTTTTCTCTATATCAGAGGTCCTTAAACTAAGGCTCGGGGCCAAATACGTCCCTCTAAGGTCATTTACCCAGCCCTCATTCAGAATCAACCTAAGTCTAAAACGACTTGAAAATATACAACAACAATCCTATTTCATCAGCCAAAATCAGGCCCACACTTCCCATTGAAATACTAATAAGTTTATATTTGTTAAAATTATTCTTCATTTTAATTATTGTATTGTTTTAAAGTGTTTTTTGCACTACAAATAAGATATGTGCAGTGTGCATAGGAATTCATTCATGTTTTTTTCTTCTTCAAATTATAATCTGGCCTTCCAACAGTTTGAGGGACTGTGACCTGTTTGAGGACCCCTGCTCTATATTAACAGTTTGCATAGCTAATGTCTTAGAAATTACCCATATATTAATCCTTGAGAGGGATTTCAGAAAAATATATATTCTAAAGAATTTCCGTATTTCATCCTCCAAACTTTTACTAAAGTCAGATTATCCATCATATTTGGGGGGAAAGGTTTAGGTAGCTTGCCTTGTTTAACATTTGTTATTTGTTATTTTCTAATTTTGTAATGGTGGTAAAATTATTCAATTTGTTCTTTAACTTTTCAATCAACATTAAAGTTTTGGTGTGGTGGTGGTGCCTCAGGCAGAAATTGACCACTGCCATGCTGTCTAGAGAATTCTGGGAGTTGTGCCTCTCAAAAGGAATTCCCCCAAACTCAGTATCCTGTGGGAAAGCAGATTAGATATAGAGATAATGTCTGTACTCACAACCATTGTGACATTTTGTTGCTTGAGGTGGAGGAGCAAATGGCACTTGGCCTTCCCCAAATCATGGTCCATTGTGATGTTGAAATCTGGGACAACATCTCACAAGGCCTGTCTCCTTCGATTATAATGATCGTCAATGAGTTGCTGCTGCTCAGCATCTGTCATGTTTTTCAGCACATAGTACTTTCCATTGAGGATCCCTTCCAGGCTAGCCAAAGCTTCCACAGCAAGCTTTTCAATAGCATGTCTTTCTCCTCTGCTACAATGAGGGGGGAGACAGAAGCCACAGATGCTCCTACTAGTTCAGACATGGGAACTTAGAACATAGTTGGGGTCCAGATTGTCACCACCCTGCAAGTTATCATGATTCAAGTCCATCTTGTGCTGATCACAAGGCTTGTAGCCTCTATGTCGGTCCTCAATAATGGGGTCGAATAGTTCATGGAACACATCATAAGACTCCTCGTCACAGCTACGCATCCAACTGTCATAATGTAGGGGTGACCTGGGTTGTCCACCCCAGTCTGAATCACATCATCCACACAAAATCCGCTTGGAGTCACTCTATCCCGCAACTTGCCGTACAGCTCCAAGGTCAGCACTTTAGCCATATGGTTGCTGTGGGCGCTCAGATCTGGGTACTCATCCTCAGCGGAGTAGTTCTTCAAGAGGTTGTGGCTGTTTGAGAATGGCATGGCGGGCCCCTGACTGCAAGGAGCAAGAGGTTCAGAGCAGCACAAAAGCAGCGCACTTGTGCCTCCTCGAGTGAGTGGAAGGAACCTGGCTGCTCTTCCAGACAGACTTGCCTCGAATGGTCTCCCTCGGCTTTTATATCCAGCCGATTATAGTAAGAATGCTATATAGTAGGGACCCTTATACACATGGGATTGGTAGATGCCATTTCACCTATCCATATCAAATAAGGTATTTTTGAGGTCCTCCAGACAATGTTATGGTATACTTCCACTGGAAGTTACCATAGAGGTTTCTGGAGAATCCAGCAAATTCTTAGAGAGGATACCACTCTTGAGGTGCCATAAAGTCTTGCTGGAGGACCTAGTAAATTTCTAGAAAGGATGTCTTTCTAGGATTTTTTAGATCCTCCAGTGAGAATCTGTAGTTACTTCTAGCAGAAGTCATCTGTTTCACTAACCTTTGCTATCATCCATGGCTTCTTGTTTCGACAATCCATTTAGGAACATCTGCCGCTAATATGGAGGTCATGTTGTAATTATAAATCAGTTGTTAACAGTTTGCTGCTATTTTTCATTATTCCAACTCTGTGGCCTGAGGTATCCGCTCGCCTAGCAATAGGACCAGCCTTGTATTATGGGGAGGGGTTTCCACATGAATTTCCATGGTGTCAAATGAAGTAACAATGTATGAGTGTTGTTTCTTGTTGCTTAATGGCTTGTAATTTTCTTTCCAAAGCCCTCCTCGTTCCCAGACGCCTCAAGACATTCACAGAACTTCTGAAGTAGAGAGTCGTGGCAGTGGAGAAAAGAATAGTTTCCAGGTAAAGGTCACGTAGACATCATATGTGATGTCTAGTTCTTCCTTTTAATAAGAAAAAGAAAGGGGTTTCTTAACAACATTGTAGAGCAGAGCTCAGAGCCCTGTATCTGGGAGCAGACTTGAATTCAGAATCATCATCAGCTCTAACAAGCAAATGCCAAGGGACTTCTTTCAATTGGTGAAGACCACATTGTCTTTTAGAGCTCAGACATCAATGGTTGGTGACTGGGAAATAAAATTATTTCCTTAACTAGCAGGCCTGATTTTAGTTTGAAGCACTGTGTCGAATGTATGTATATATTGAGTATAAACCAGTCCGAATATAAGCTGAGGCACCAAATTTTACCACAAAAAACTGGGAAAACATATTGACTCGAGTATAAGCCGAGGGTGGGAAATGCAGCAGCTACTGGTAAATTTCAAAATAAAAATAGATACCAGTAAAATTACATTAATTTAACACAGGCAGCCTCGTTCTTCTAGCATGAGCAGAATTCTGAGAAATGTAGTTTAGGGCAGGGCCTTTTGAATACTCTGCTACAGAGGTCCTTGCCTATGCAAACTACATTTCCCAGGATTCTGTTTGCACCAGAAGAACAGGTCTGCAGTTTGGGGTTGGATATAATTTCAACAGAGGAAGGTTATAGACTGTGTACTACTTTTATTTTGATAGACTTGTTTTGCCCCATAGGATCTCTCTTGGGGCCAAAAGAAATACATGAAACACACAACTAACCTCTTTTTTATTCATACCTCTAATATTTTTAAGAAATTCTTTCTAGAGGCTGACTATTTCTTTAATCACTTATAGTTTAAACTAGTTGTAATGCTAAATTCATTTGGAAGTAATACTACAGTAAGCCCTCCACATTTTGTGGATTTGATTATTTACAGATTTTATCAATATGTTTGCTCTAGCAACCTCTAGATCCTCCAGGGAGATTCTATAGTCACCATCTGGCAGAAGTTGACTGTAGAGTCAACCTTGGAAGATCTAGAGATTCCCAGAGAAGTGTTTGTGCAAGTTAAAACATAGGTTTTGTACTTTTTAAACATATGCCATCTTGAGTCCCCTTTTTGTCATTTTCTGCTCCAACCCTTGCTAAAATAGGGTTTGTGCTATATAATGGTGATTAGGAAGTTTTTTTTAATCTTATTTATTTATTTACAGTATTTATATTCCATCCTTCTCACCCCGCAGGGGACTCAGGGCAGATTACAATACGTGGCAAACATTCAATGCCATTTAGACATACAACATATATAGACAGACATAGAGACAATTTAACATTCCAGCTTTCCGGCTTCATGAGGGTATGCTTGATTCCAGCCACAGGGGGAGCTGCCGTTTCACCATCCACTTGTGACACCGAGTCCTTGATGGAGTACTTCCTCATTCTTATGCACACTGCTTGAAGGTTTTATGGTGTAGTAAATTAGTTAAATTAGCCTTCCAGCATAAAGCAGTACCTAAATTTCCTACTTGACAGTTGCAACCGTCTCTTGGGCTGCATCAGTCAACAGCAAGCTAGACTATTAATGGTCAGGAGCTCACTCCAACTTGGGCTGGCTTCGAACTCATGACCTCTTGGTCAGTAGTGATTTAATGCAGCTAGCTACTAACTAGCTGTGCCACAGCCCAGTCTTCGATATCTGTTTTGGACTTCAATTCCCAGAAGCCTCAGCCAGCCTAGTCAACTGTACAGAATTCTAAGAGCTGAAGTCCTAAATAACTGGAACACAAAAATTTGGGAATCATTGATCAAGATGAACCCTAACACTTTCAATAATACTTTTAATGAATAAAACTTGATCTTCTGGAAATATGTGTAGTTCTTAAACAGAATTAAGAACTTAAGTACTTTCAGTGTTACAATATCAGTGCATTAATATAAATATGAAAACTGATTAACTGTATCAGTTTACCTTCTGAGAGGTAAACCCCAAATACCTACTTGATGTAGCTCTCTACCTAAGAGTTAGTTAGTTAGTTAATATCCTGCCTTTTTCCCAACACAGCATTGTTCTTTAAAAAGTACAATAATAACAATAATAATAATAAATAATGTTCTTTATTTATTCCTCCCTATCTCCCCAAGGGGACTCAGGGCGGATTACAGTACACATATACAGCAAACATTCAGTGTCGTTGAACAATTAACAAAGATAGACAGTACACAAGCAGAGGTAAAGGCTTCCCATCTTTTTCTATCTCCAGCATCAATACAATTAACATTGATAATACAACAGTAGAAGTCAATTCAACTAAATTTGGTATTGGTTTTCAGCCTGTCACTATTTTTTAAGCGGGTCTCATAATAATGTCCAACCCGTCTACCTTTCCTTTAGTCTGAAGAAGATTTTCTGGAACGAAGGAAGGAAATTGAACGGCTTTTGAAGAAAAATTCTGACTGGATGTGGGACTGGTCCAGCAGACCTGAGAATATTCCACCCAAGTGAGCAGGTTTTGTGGTGAAAAATGCAGATAACATCAATTCTTGGTAATGTTATGTACTTAAAATCAGCAATGAACATTTATGAACATAGTTTTCTTTTCTTGCAAAACAGGGAATTTCTCTTCAAACATCCTAAGCGTACAGCTGCCCTCAGTATGAGAAATACCAGCATGATGAAGAAGGGAGGCATATTTTCTGCAGAATTCCTGAAGGTTTTCCTACCTTCACTACTGCTGTCCCATCTGCTAGCCATTGGACTCGGGTAAGGCGTACTTCAGTTCATCCCTTATCCAACTGGTTTGTGGGGAATTTCTTGTTTAATTTTTTATTGTATACAAGTAACACCCCCTCTGTCATGCGTTAGCATGAGTAGCATGCAGATTGACTCTAGCCCAGTTAACTGTGTGTGTGATGAATTGGCTCATAAAAGAAAAACACACGAGACTTCGGCTTAAAGTAGAAAAGAAAATATTGTAGTATTGGCAGCATACAAAAACAAAGTAGCAGGATTACTGTTTCCACAAAAGTAACATGAAACAATATCTTCTGAGAGATATCACTACTCAGCTGAGATAAGCAGGAATCCTTGTCCTCTTCTCATGGCTGTGTCTTCGCAGGACATCTGCAGCATAGTCCCCGGCTTACACAAAGCAGAACGGCACAGAGGCATAGATGCACAATAGCATAAACGCACAATGGCAAAGAACTAAACACACAGTAGCTATCTTTATACACATGAAAATAACACTCTCAATTAACTCTTCAATTAACTGAAACAGCTGTAGCACAAACAGCCTTGAACCTTACAGCAACTTAAAGTTATAGCACAAACAACATTGATCCTTACAACAACTTAGATAAAGTACGTTGCAACCTCTTAGTAGCAACACCCTCCCCCAGAGAACAAATAATATAATAATTACCAAAAACTATACGTTTAGAACATCCAACCACACCCTTTCCCTCCATCCCCACAACCATGAACATACCACTTATGACTTCCATCACTACCTGTTGTGAATCTTATATCTATTCAAACCTACCCTTATATTTGCTTTAATAAATTCCCATTGGGGCTACTTTAAAATCTACATTGGCCTTTCTTTCCAAATATCCCAACGCCAGCCTCCATTTTTTTTGGCAAACTCTTCATTATTTCCTCCCCTAGTACCGTTGTATAGCTTCGCCATTTGAATATAGTCTAATAGTTTTTCTCTCCAGTCCTTTATAAGTAGTTCCATTTCCCCCCTTTCAAGATTTCGCTTGTTAATCTATCTGCAACAAAGCTGTTGTTAACCTACCTGATCTCTTCTCAAACTGTTGTAGATTCTTTTTTAAAATAATGTTTATTAGGTTTTTGTTCATAAAGAAAATGAACATCGAAAGTGTCGGAACAATTTCCAAATAGAAAAGTTAAGAAAAAAGGGACAGCAGGGGAAGGAAGAGTTGGAAGAGAGGGGGGAAAGAAAAGGGGAAAATGAGAGAGGAAAAAAAGGTGTTTGACTTCTTTCTATTCTTTGGTGGTTGTAAAAAAAGAAGCAAATTAATCACCAAACTATATCAGAAACTCTTGGAGTGGACCACAGAAATTGAACAAATAAAGGATTTTATTATCAAATGGGCAACAAAAACACGATAAAATTAGAGAAATGGGAGACAATTTGGAACGAAAAGATTAAATATACATATGCATATGAATTAAGGGAAAATTGGATGAAGATGATTTATAGGTGGTACCTTACTCCATATAACATCTCAAAATGTTATAAAAACGCATCAGATAAGTATTGGACATGTGCCCAACAAGCAGGGATTTTTTTCACGTACGGTGGACCTGCCCCGAAGCAAAAAGGTTTTGGTCAGAAATCCCTATAGTCATACAAAAAATACTAAACCTAAAGATTGAAAAAAAATCCAGAATTTTTAAAATTAGGAATGCTAGAAGTACTGGAAGATAAAAATAAGGAAATTCTCTTTAATTATCTAGTTATTGCAGCCAGGATAGTGTTTGCAAAAAAAACTGGAGGCTGAAGGAAATCCCAAAAAAGAAGACTGGCAAAAAAGAAATTAGAAATAATGAATATGGACAAATTAACTTATTGGATTATACCAAATCAAGGTCTTCCGAAAAAACAAACCAACTGGGACCTGGTCAAAGACGACTTCAACTACTGCAACATAAACTTGACAATTTGAAGCATAATAGTCACGAGAAAGCTAAACAAATATAGGAAAGGAGTAGTTTCTCAGTTACTTATGAACAATTTTGCTTCTTTTTTTCAAACTGTCGTAGATTCTTTGCTCACTGGTTTACGAGTAGTAGTAGTAGTAGTAGTTGGTAATTCTACCATTATACCTCTGATTAATAGCTACCATCTGTATCTGTGCCCTGTTCGCCCCACCGGCTCAATAGCTATCTTGAGCAATGATCAATCTATTTTCCCCTAAGGAACTGGGAAATTGATGCTTCTTTTTGATGTTTGATGTTTTGTCTTATGTCTGATATAACAGGCTGTGTTTTTAATTTAATTTTAGTTGTTAAGTCATAATTTGTTTTTAACTTTTAGGATTGCCAGATTTTATTACTATGGATGTATTGTTGTATTCCAGCATTGAATGTTTGCCTTTTATATTTGGAATCTGCCTTGAGTCCCTCCAGGGAGATAGGATGGGATATAAATAAAGGATTATTATTATTGTTATTCTCAGCTACTTAAAATGAAGGTTTAATTTTGGTTGTTTGGGGCTTGCGGCTAGGTACAAACATGTCACATATACAAATTTGTGGCCCCAAAGGACCCAGGTTTTCCAGGTATACATAAAGTTGCCCTTTAGTTACCTAGGAACAGGACTTCCTACTCAAATAACAACTAGTTTCTTGCCAGGCAACCTGAGAAATGTGGTCAAAGTTCTACCCTGGAGCTGTGTCTGACTCCTAGAGATGGGTTATAATTTTGAGGGTGTTTTTTTCTGGTTGACCTTCAGTTTCCAAACTCTCCAGTCATTCTTTTTTTGTGACAAAAAAGAAAACATTGAATTGGAAGCCTCCAGGAGTGTCAATTTAACTTGCCCCTCCCCTGCATGACCTCCCTCTGAGCTGCTTTTTTGTCAGTTGGCAAAGACTTGCAAAAATAGCCCTTCAGCCATTTACTGGTTGTGGTAGAAGGAAGAGACATCTGTGCTGTCCAATAGCTATCGTTTCACTTACCAATCTCCAACCCTCTCTCGGAAGTATTTGTACATTTCTCTGCATCTTCCAGTGTGATTCTGTGTTATGCTTCCAATCCCAAGTATGCTCAAAATATACGGTTTGCTATTGCCCGTGAATTCAAGTATCCACAGAACGTCTTGTAATCTATCCCCTGAAGATATTAAGGTTTGAACTGTATGTAATAATATGTATTTGACCTCATTTACATTCATGGTTTAAGTAACATCTTAATAGAAAGCATCATTTAAATTTTTAAAAAACTTTTATAGTGCGTGTTGTTTAAGCTATTTTGTTTTAGATTATGTTGTCAGCCCTTTTTGAGTTTTTAGACATGTATCATTTCGCCACACAGTAATTCAGTTTTACTAGCAAACTGGAGGTCGGATATAAATCAAATAAATAAATACATTCTCACGCAAATTTCATGGCCAAGAGTCAAAGCAAGACAAAGGTTTAATGTATTGTCGAAGGCTCTCATGGCCAGAATCACTTGGTTGCTATGGGTTTTCCAGGCTGTATGGCCATGTTCCAGAAGCATTCTCTCCTGATGTTTCACTTGCATCTATGGCAGGCATCTTCAGAGGTTGTGAGGGCTGTTGGAAACTAGGAATATGGGGTTTATATATCTGTGGAATGTCCAGGGTGGGGAAAAGAACTCTTGTCTATTTGAGGTAGGTTGCAATTCGCCACCTTGATTGGCATTTAATGACCTAGTAGTTTCAAGGTCTGACTGTTTCCTGCCTGGGAGAATTCAACCAGAGAAGTTAGCCATAGCAGATCACCTGTTGAACCAACCTGGACACAGCATATTATTTGAGAACACAGAAATGCTGGACCACACTAACAACCACCATGTCAGACTACACAGGGAAGCCACTGAAATCCATAAGCATGTGGGCAATTTCAACAGAAAGGAGGAAACAATGAAAATGAACAAAATTTGGCTACCAGTATTAAAAATAAACCTCTAAAACCAAAACATTAAATTAAGAACACTCAAAAACGGGAATTCCAGACAAGAAATGATCAGGGCCAGCGAATCACCTCCCAACAAAGGATTCCGCCAGGTAGGAAGCATCCAGACTTTGAAACTGCAAGGCCATTCAATGCTAATCAAGCTGGCCAATTGCAACATTCACACCTGCCTCAAGCAGACAAGAGTTCTTTCTACCACCCTGGACTTTCCACAGATATATAAACCTCCCTTGACTATTTTCCAACAGACCTCACAACCTCTGAGGATGCATGCCATAGATGTGGGTGAAACGTCAGGAGAGAAAGCCTCTGGAACATGGCCATACAGCCCGGAAAACTCACAACAACCTAAAGACAAAGGTTGTATGTAAAGGCTGCTCTGAGTTGAGAAGGGCGAGGTATAAATGTGGAAATAAATAAATAATGATAAATAAATGTAAACTAATTCTTTTTCAAAATTCAACACAATGCTTATGGGCTCTTTTTGTGTCTCAGGATATATATCGGAAGACGATTGACGACCACAGCTTCCAGCAGCTCATTGTAAGAGTCAGAAATGAGTCTTGTCTGTTCTGCAAAATGTTGGCACCATCCATCCAGGCATACAAGAAGCAATGAACAAAAGGAACTCCTGGGGCGTGCAGCGACTTCATGGCTAAATCTATTTCATTCTCTAAATATCATCCTCCTGGCCTACTTGTGAAAGAGAAGTATGAAAACCAAAGTCAAACGGCTCTTGTATGTACATCCATTTTTGTTCTGTATAGCATAGGTTAGATCAAGCGCAAGGAGCATGTGGCCTTTCAAATGTTCTTGGACTCCAGGCCCTAGTAGCCATTGTCAGCCTAGCCAGTGATGAGGGATGATAGCAGTTATAGTCCAGCACCACTTGGAAGGCCCCATCTCTGTTTATAGATTAGGTTTTTTTTAATCCTTACCAACTCTGTGGTAAAAAAAAAATTGTAATATTATTAGTGGAGATTGTGTAGCACGGAATTAACCTATTTGTTTTCTATTTTGTAAAGACATTATTTGGGATTGCTCTTGGCATCACTTTATTGTAAAGAGAATCGTGGGCCAAGATTCTTGTGGCCTTACATTTCTAAAAGACTGTAGTCTTTTTACTTGATGTGAAGTGATTTAGTAGACTCATTGTAAAATGTAACGTTGAATGTGAATCCTATATAGTAATGTTAGAGATTTCTGTGTTTTAGTATGGGGTCATTCCCTTGTGTTTTCATTGCATGTTTAGATCTAGTGCACAATACTCCATAACAAGAGTGGAAATAAATAAGACTTCAGTAGAACAATTGCCCACATTTCCTTAACTTCAGAAAACTTGTTTTGGAGCCTTTCTAGATTCTCCAATGCAATTATATGGTATGCTTCCAACTTACTCACAGTCACTATTATCCACAGTTTCAAGTATCCATGGAGTGATCTTGGAACATATCCTCAATCCATGGTTCTAAATAGTTCTAAAGTACGAGGGTTGAATGAAAAGTAATGCCTCCATCTTCGTTACTTGGGTTTGGATGGGAATATTTTAATAAATCAAATACAGAAATAATCCTTAGAATGTGCTCTTTAACTTCCATTATTCACTTTTCCACATAATCACCAGACAATTTGATACATTTCTGCCAACGATGAACAAGTTTTCTGAAGCCTTAATGAAGAACTCAACACTCTGTTTCCGCAACCCATCATGCACAGATCTTCTGATAGCCAAGCAAAGCAATAATGTGACCTACACATTCTTGTGAAATGCCAATTATGCTTGACATTTCTTTCTTAGTGATACGACGATTGTCCTGAATCAATCTGTCAATCTTTTGCTTGTGAAACTCGATAGTTGCTGTCACAGGACGTCCATCTCTTTGTTTGTCACGCAGGTCAGATGTTCCCACCTTAACATCTTTAAGCTTACTTGCCCAACAATGCACAGTACTCACATCAACAAAATCACAATAACAGCTTGCATTCTCTGATGAATCTCCTTTGGGGTGACACCTTCTGCTGTCAAGAATTCAATGACTGCACATTGCTCAAGTCGCATTGACCACAGAGTTCCATATTTCACACATTAAAAACACAACCGTTCAATGCTAAGGCTTCCCTCCAAAATGGAACTATAGAGGAGAGTCTACTGAACAAGTCAGTACCTGCCGCATACCAGTACTGCCATCTGTTGAGGAGTTACAAAGGTGGAGACATTACATTTCATTCAACCCTTGTACTTACAAAATTAAGGGATGCTGGTGCTTTGCTTCTAAAGTGTTGCTAAAATTCTGGTGGTGAAAATTTCAGAACTCTTAGCAAAACTTTCAAAATTTTGTTGTAAAATGGCAGTTCCTAATTGGTTCTGTAATAAAAATTGGCAATAACGAAATAATAATGGAATTTTCACCACCAGAACTTTAGCAACACTTTAGAAGCCAAGCACCAGCACCCTCTAGTTTAGTAAATACTTGAGAACTATTTAGAACCATGGATGGCCCATGCCCCATATATACTCCATGGATAGAGACATTGTACTGTATTGGTTCTTAAAAAGGAACTCCCAGCAATACATTTTAGTAGCTCAGAAACTAATCTCTAAGAATGTGATACATGCATTTTAAGTGAATTCAGGGACTCACTCTGTAATATGTGTTGTGATTCTATGATGACATATTGGAGAGAAAGTGAACAGTCATTTGTAGCATCTTTTCAATAACAGCCATACCGTTATTGGTTAATCAGAATGCTGAAAATACTTCATGTAAGTTTGCAAAGCTTCACGGCTTTTCAGCAGACAAAAGGCTTATGAGTCACACAGGAAGGAAACAATGGTGTTGTAGGGATTACACTGGAGGCAGAAGCAGCATCTCCTTGGCCATGTAAGGACCAGGGACAAAGGGCAGGAAAAGGCAGGCTATATAATTTAAGCTCCATTATCAACAGAAAAGTAACTCAGGCAGTCTCAAGGGAAATTACATTTCTGTTGCTGGTGAAATTTTAGTACCTGTATTTTATTGGCCTTTGTCCTTGGTCTTTACATGGCCCTTGAGTGCTCTAACTGGAGGTCAGCTGTGACCAGCAGTACTGCAGAATTCGAAGAGGTCCCAATGGAGGGTGAAAGGGAGAAATGTACCAAGAAGAATGCGCATCAAGCCAACTCTGACTGGGACCGCCTTCCACCTGGAAACTGATGCCGTCACTGTGGAAGAACATGTGTGTCAAGAATAGGGCTCTACGTGCTCTGTGGACCCACTGCCAAGACACTACACTTGGAAGGCCATCATACTCTTGTCAAATGAGGGATCGCCTAAGTAAGTACAAGGCCAAGGAGAAGTTTCCTGTGCCCACACTGACATTCCTCAATATAATCATAACTGAAAACACATCAACTTCTGAGATAGAATGCAGGCCTGTGACTCCCACATCACTAACTTTTTCCCTCTCCTGTATGATTTTTAATGTTTTTTTTTTCTCATGAAGGAGCCACCAAACTTCTGAAAGCAATCACGGTGCAGTTCCTGCATTTTCTTTTTTAGTTATCACTTAATGTTCGGTATTTACCATAATTAAACAAGGTGCTGTGTTTTAAAAAAATACAGTTTAGAAGTTCCATATCCAAACATCGCTGAATCTATAAGCTTTCCCTGATTATAGTGAAAAAGAGAAATCTAGGTAAATGGTACATAATTTTGCTGTTACTTTGAACTTTTCCCAAGATGCAGAAACTGAATGTAACACACGATGTAACCAGTTTACTGTTTTTATATACTACCTTTGAGGGTTTGAAGAATCACCTTTGAGGTATCTGTCACTTTATGAAACAACTTATGAATATTCTTGCTAAGGTTATCTGTTAAAAAAATACTACTGATAGGTGTTGAAAATGTAATATGAGCATAGTTTTGGTATCTGTTAAGTGAAATGAAGTAAATGCTAAGTAGAAATACTGTGTAATAAGTATCTAGCATCCACCAATATTAGCAACATTAGTCTAAAAGGGTTTGTTGTTTTTTCTTTGCTTTTGGCCTTAGTATTTGTTATACACTTTTTTATATATTGATAATTTAAATAAGTCATATCATGCCGCTGTGCCAGTTGTCTTAGATTATTGTGCTTTCTTCAACAACGTGACTTCATTGAAGAATTTAGCTTGGCCTTATGGTAAGATCATGGCGCAGTGGGTTAAAGCGCTGAGCTGCTGAGCTTATTGACCGAAAGGTTGCAGGTTCGAATTCAGGAGCAGCGTGAGCTTCCGCTGTCAGCTCCAGCTTCTGCCAACCTAGCAGTTCGAAAACATGCAAATGTGAGTAGATCAATAGGTACTGCTCCAGCTGGAAGGTAACGGCGCTCCATTAGTCATGCCAGCCATATAACCTTGGAGGTGTCTACAGACAATGCCGGCTCTTCGGCTTAAAATTAGAGATGAGCACCAACCCCCAGAGTCGGACATGAATGGATTTAACATCAGGAGAAAACCTTTACCTTACCTATGGTAAGATTACCATCCTATCTGTTCCATGCTAACATGGGAGATTGGGAATAATATTATTTTCTTGAGGGACTCCTTAGATATCCATAGGTAGGACTACAACCCCATTATCTATATCCATTGACCATGCTGGCTGAGGAGAATGGCAGCTGTAATTCAATAGCTTAGCATCCCAAGGAGAAGAAGGGCTGCCCAGTTGTCTCAGTCACATTGCAAAGGACTATGCAAACAAAGCTTGCATAAAAGCTCCATAAGAAGCACTAAAGTTTATCTGAATTTCTAGTTACAAGTTTTGGGGCTTCAATAAAATAATTGGACTAATTCAACTGCCTGCAAATTTGAATGGATAAGGCCCTATTTAAGAAGAATCTTCCATCTTTTGAATTGCCATTGCTGCCAGTTGTAGAAATTTCCAAAGAAGGGAATTTGATTCCTCCTGATCTAACAAAAGATAAACTAGAAGGACAATAGTGGTGAGGGTGTTTTTTCTTCCATTCATTATGGTGCATTCACACATTTTACTGGATAGAAATCGGACATTTTTATGAAGTGGGAGTTTTGTCTTCTAATCGTGTTATTGGCAATCATGTCAAGTGAATGGGTAACAACCTGACCTTTTGTCTTCTAGGCGACAACCACTGGAATATATCAATGAATGTATATTGAAGTTTTATGGCTAAAGTATAAATAAATGGAATAAAATTTTCCCTTGTTTGTATGGTGTGTCTGTATTGGAGGGATGAACGTGAAGACAGGCTTGTTTTTGAGAGTGAGATCTAAGAGTGAAGATCCACTAGCAACATAAGACTTGCAAAAGAGATATAAATCTGGGAAGTGGATAAAAGTCTACCAGTTTGGGGGAAGACGTTCTTAAAATGTCAAAGACTTCAGTACTGTTCTTCTAGAGCAGTGTTTCTCAACCTGGAGGTTGGGACCCTTGGGGGAGGGTAATGAGTGGGCTTTCTGAGGCGTCATCAAAGACCATGAGAAAACATATATTTCTGATGGTCTTAGGAACCCCTTTGGCAGAGAAAGCTGAAGATCTCTCCATCTGTTCTTCTCTTCCTTTTTGGAAACAGATGGTGAATCCTTCCACCAAAAGTCCTTCTGCTGTGATTGGCTGGCCTCTCAGCTAAGGGGAGGGCTGTTTCTGAGACTCCAAGGAAGGAGGGGAGAGCAGGTGTGCTGTCCCGTGAATCACTGACAATTCCTCCCAAATCCCTTGAGTATTTTCTGTTGGTCATGGGGGTTCTGTGTGTGAAGTTTGGCCCAATTCTATCACGGTGGGGTTCAAGTGGCTCTTTGATTGTAGGTGAACTACAAATCCCAGCAACTACAACTCCCAAATGTCAAGGTCTATTTTCCCTAAACTCCACCAGTGTTCAAATTTGAGCATATTGACTATTCATGTAAAGTTTTGGTCCAGATCCATCATTTTTGAGTCCACAGTACTCTCTGGATGTAGATGAACAACAATTCAACTCAAGGTCAGTGCCCACACAACCATTCCAGTATTATCTGTTGGTCAAAGGGGTGCTGTGTGCCAAGTTTGATTCAATTCCATCCTTGATGGAGTCCAGAATGCTCTTTGATTGTATGTGAACTATAAATCCCAGCAACTACAACTCCCAAATGACAAAATCAATCCCGCACCAACCCCACCAGTATACGAATTTGGACGTATTGGGCATTTGTGCCAAATTTGGTACAGTGCATTAAAATATGTCCTGCATATCAGATATTTACATTACGAATCACAACAGCAGCAAAATTAGTAATGAAGTAGCAACTAAAATAATGTGATGTTTGGTGGTCACAACACGAGGAACTGTATGACGCGGCATTAGGAAGGTTGAGAACCACTGCTTTAGAGACTGCACCTAGTATTTAAACAAGAGCACAAGGCTTGATGGTCTAGTTGCATCAGAACAGCTAATATTTACAACCAGGTGAGCAAATGTGCAGAAGTGCACACCTGTGTTGCTAAACACAGCTATTGATATGAATCAATAGTGGACTAGTATCATATACAGAAAAACAAATATCTGCCAACAGGTACATTACCATATTACATAATACATATATAGTAAAATAATCCTCCACTACAGAGTTCCCCAATCCCAGAATAAAACCAAAGTAATCTGGTCCATGGCACCAGTGTTAAACAACTTGTAACCAAATGCATCTAGAATGAATTTGGTTTTTCCTTGTGTAAAATGGGATATATACGTATGCTTATTATGGTCAAGATTTGAGATAGGCTATTTAGTATTCAATTATAGGTGTGTCCTACTTTTCAGTGCTCCACTTGTCATTGATCTAGTCCAGTGGCTCTCAACCTGTGGGTCTCCAGATGTTTTGGCCTTCACCTCCCAGAAATCCTAACAGCTGGTAAACTGGCTGGGATTTCTGGGAGTTGTAGGCCAAAACACCTGGGGACCCACAGGTTGAGAACCACTGATCTAGTATTTTGACCTTTAAAATTATGACTGGAGTCTGCTAATTCAAAGCATGGTCCACTCTTTCAACCAAGTGTCATGTTAAGGGTGTTTTGTAAATCAGAAAGAGCAAAAGAGCAAAGGCAAGGTCTCTTTTGGGTGGACTCCGACTTTCCTACCTACCCAGTTTAGAAAATAGCCCAAAATAACTTGGAAGAGGCAGCTGGAATATGCTGGAATCCGTCCTGAGTCCTCTTGGGGAGACAGGGCAGAATATAAATAGTTATTGTTATTATTATGATTATTATCATCCTCACCATCATCTGAGAGCAATTCAAATAAGGAGGTAGCCTATAATGTTCCCTGGCTCAATCCCATTCTCAATCCTCTAACTTGAAGGTGGACTTTCATATGGAACAAACTATAACAATTTAATGTGGACCACTAGTGCCTCAAGACTATGAAAACAGGAAATAACCAGGTACTCAACTTCATTGGACATGACCCCATTAGTTCTTTATCTTGTTCTCTTTATAATGTTAAGCTCAAGGTTAGGCTTGCTTAGGGTGGATAGGGCACAATTGCTTATTTTTTTATTCTCGTGGAAAGAACCATCAATCACAGAAGCGAAAAAGGGAATGCAAGGAGTGCTTGAATTCACATTACAACAATCTTTTAAGAATCTAAACCAGTGACACCGAAAGGCAGTAACCAAAGCTAGTCTTCAACACAGCCCTCAGATTTATTCACAGCAAACCTATTTTAAGCATTTCTGCTTAGTTTATTTTTTTTAATCTTATCTGAAGCCAACAGAGGAATAAAAGATTGTAATTTTTTAGTTTTACAAGGCTTTTCATAGTCAATTATAAAGCTATTCCTATAAAACAAAAATATTTTTAGCTGAGGAGTGACCTGAACACACTGTATTGAAGCCAAACATCTTGAAATAAAAGTTATGGCACTACTTAGATGTTTATATTAAGACAAACATGACTATGGTCATCTAAAAGTATAAGGTAAAGGTTTCCCTTTGGCACTGTCTAGTGCAGGGGTCCACAAACTTTTTTAAACAGAGGGCCAGGTCACAGTCCCTCAAACTGTTGGAGGGCCAGATTATAATTTGATAAACACATGAATTCCTATGCACACTGCAAATATCTTATTTGTAGTGCAAAAAACACTTAAAACAAATACAATAGTCAAAATGAAGAACAATTTTAACAAATATAAACTTATTAGTATTTCAATGGGAAGTGTGGGCCTGCTTTTGGCTGATAAGATAGGATTGTTGTTGTTGCTGTGTGATTTCAGACTTAGGTTGACTCCGAGCAAGGGCCGGGTAAATGACCTTGGAGGGCTGTATCCAGCCCCCGGGCCTTAGTTCGAGGACCCCTGGTCTAGTATCTGATTCTATGGGGTGGTGCTCATTTCCGTTTCTAAAGCAAAGAGCCATTGTTGTCCATTGACACCTCCAAGGTCATGTGGCTGGCATGACTGCATGGAGTACCGTTACCTTCCCACCAGAGCGGTACCTATTGATCTACACACATTTCTATCTTTTTTAACAGCTAGGTTGGCAGAAGCTGAGGCCAGCAGTGGGAGCTCACCCCGCTTCCCAGATTCAAACCACTAACATTTCGATCAGCAAGTTCAGCAGCTCAGCGGTTTAAAGTGCAGGTGCCTATATATTGTGCAGGCAGAAAATTATAAAACAAAAAGAGGTCAAAAGTCAAAACAATGCAACAAACTAAGATGTATCACATTTCTATGTGTCGATGACTTACTTTCAAGGAGCAGCCATTGGCAATGAATGGTTTAGTAATACATCAAAGGATGTGCTTTGGATAACTTGGATTCGATTTTAAGGAAAATAAAATTACACCGAAAAAGTTTCAAATACACTGAGCAAGTTCAGGTAAACATTTAAAATTTATTAAACTTTTTGGTCAAAATAATTGAACAATTATGTACAATCCCGTTGTATTAGCTCTCGCATATGTTTTTGTTTTAGGAACAAAGTCAATCTAATGGTTAAATGACCTATTCGTTCCACATTTCAAGATTTGCAAATAGTGTCACAACTGATATACAGTATACGATTTTTATTTAAACTTTATCTTTAGAACCCCCCCTCCCACAATTACTATTAGATCGCGAAAAAGAGTAGCACTCTATGGACATTAATTGACAGGGTACGGACAGAGACATGTTGCTCTTGCATATTCATATCTAACTTTAATAATCATAGTAAACCTTCATTTAATGAAAATTGGAGTGTGAACTATACACCTGCATTTTAGTCAGGAATCTCGAGGGGCCTGAATTTCAAGGATTTTGTAGGCACATTCAGTAGTTAAGTTCAGAGGAAGTAAGGGATATATGATGCTGTCATGTGTGCCCACTACTATTGTGTACAAGTTTACTCCCACAGGCATCTACCATGAAACACTTAGAGACCATCATCCAAAAGAGAGATTCCAAAAGTGAGGAACATATTCCTTAGCCTCATATCATTAGTAGAAATGCAATATTCTACAAATGTAATTTATCAGTATTTAGCCTCATGACAGCTTGATCTCCTCATGTCAACAGACCCAGAGGAGAATACAAATATGTTTAGCCTGTGCTCCTGTTTGGCATAATCAGGTTTGAAAACATACTAGCTTTAGATTAAGTGGGAAGTTTGGGAGTCATATGTTTATGTCCAGTTGTAGTATTTAAAAAGCAAAGATCTAAAAGGTAAAAAAAAGTAATGCACATTAAGGTACGTGTCTCAGTTGTGAGGCATATTCACTGTTAACCAGAGCAGTGATTCATTGAAGGGTCAGATGTACACGAACACTGCGCTCCTTTAAGGCTGCAGATGAATTTTATCTCAATGTCTTAGTTTTGTGCACAACAGATGATTTTGTTTTAAACACAGAAAACCAACAGAAGCTAAGGTAAAGACAACTGGAAACAAAATTGAGTCTAGTTTGAAGCAGTAAATATGAGACTGCTTTATACTGTCAAAATGAGTATTTTCGGGACAAACTATGTTCAAATCTTTTCCTCAGTTATTTTGCACAATCTCAATACATGCAATAAAAAAGACTGAATACATACTTTCAGATTTAAAAACACTTTTTATAGTTTGTTATTTTTATTAAGTGGTTTACACCAGAAGGTGTGGTTATAGATACAGTTGGTGAGTAAATATACATGAAAAACCTGTCTACGCACCCGACTCTAGACTTACCTATATGCTCAAAGGTAGAAACACCATAAAGCTTAGATGAAGGYCAGAGAAAGAATGTTTACAGGCATAAAGCACAAATATATGTTTTGAAAGGCCCAAATATTACAGCAGATAAAGAGCACATGAGATARAAATTACATTTTTRTGACAATTTGTTTCTTGGGTGTTAGATTTTTGGTCTATCAACTGGAAAGGAAGGCTCAGACTTAAATAAATACATTTGTTTTGAATATTGGCCTTTATTKAGTATTGTCCATTGCTTCTGCTTCAAGTGGGCTTTGTTTGTTTWYAAAAAAAWMAAAATTTCCATGTTCCCCCYACACTGAAGGCAGAAATACACCATGAACTCAAGTCCAGRCCAGCTTCTCTCCTTTAYCTATAAAGGGAAATAAGTGCATCAATGTTCTTTACTGGAAGGACAAGAAGGCCATCTCTGACATATAAACAACTSAGCTTAACTATGCAAGACGACAACTTTGTCCTCGAATATGCCGCCTTTAATTAATTTTGTCCTGGAATATATACAAGTTATTGGTGGCAGCTACAGCAATGATGTTTTCTGCAGGGTGCCATGCTGTATGGAGGATCTTCTTGTTGAAGTCCAGACTGTCAACACTTATTTCATCTTTCTTCCTCTTGCCACCTGTGCACACTTTCCGGGGCTTTAAGATAGCACGAGGTTTGCTACTTTCTCTCGATGCTTCTAATGTTATGTCTCGCCGTGTGTTTCGATCAAACATCCTAAAGAAGTTGTTGTATGAGCCAGTCATAATGGCGCTATAGCAAAAGAGAAAACAGGCAATGGTTTAGTCAAGGCATTCAGTCTATTACAACATTATGATACTCTGTTTCAGTAATTTTCCATTTTGCTTCTTCCAATTCCAAACACATCCTTATTTAACCTGTAGCGCAGTGATTCTCAACCTGTGGGTCCCCAAATGTTTTGGCCTTCAACTCCCAGAAAATCTAACATCTGGTAAACTGGCTGGGATTTCCAGGAGTTGTAGGCCAAAACCACTGCTGTAGCACATGCAATACCACAATCTGACCTCATACATCTCAACTTGATCCTCACATCTACCAGGTGTACTTACAGTAACACATTAAATATACTATTATGTAATCAATGGAGATTCCACTGCTAGTGCTAAGAGCTAAGGTAAAGGTTTAAGTCTGGATTGCACTCTCATCTTCTCAAAAAGAATAGATTCTGAAAAATCCCAATTATGACTGTGCATCAAAGAAGAGATGCATACGTTATCATCTTATAATCTGACATGATGCCACAAGAATGTGAAAGTGTATTATAGTTGTTTTAAACTGTTTATTTTATGATGTTTTATACTTATCATCAATGTATTTGGATTGTTGTTTACATAATTTTAATATGTTGTAAGCCACATTGGGTCCCGTGAGGGATAAAAGCAGGATATAAATACATTATCATCATCATCATCATCATCATCATCATCATCATCATCATCATCATCATCATCATCTTCAAATATAAAGATTAGATTACATAAAACACCCGACACACATTTTCACGATTTAGGCAAACCTTTGAARTAAGTCTAATTGTTTCAGTAAGCCTCACCTATCGGAACCATTCCAGCAGCACTCAAACTTGTCAAAGATGCAGTCATTCTCATAAAGTGAACAAAGTTTGCTTCGAAGATATTCATGAACCTTGAAAAACACAAGCAGTGGACAGCATGAGTACAGGTTCCATTTCTTCATTTTTAAACTCTATCATCTATCTATCTATCTATCTATCTATCTATCTATCTATCTATCTATCTATCTATCTATCTATCATCTATTTTAATTCATTATATTTAAATAATTAAGTATTATATGTTACATAGTACCCATACTGTACCTGATAGGTCTCTACGGGCCTGTTTTCCATATTGAGATCCCATACTTTAACYGAAAGGTAGTCTCTGGTCATCATATATCGACCACTGTGACTGAACTTTACATCTGATATTGAGGAAATTATTTCTGAAAAGAAGGATCGGCTGCTGGGATCTTCGGGCTCCTCAAAGACTGAAAATGAAAAGGTATGTAAAAAAGCTGTTGAGAATCCAGAGTCGTAACATTTTGGCATTGTCAAACAATTAAGACTCACTAAGTTTAGATAACTTAGGTTGACAGGTGACTTGAAGCCATACACAAACATACACATTGTGTACATTATATACTGAGTGTTTTAGCTGTTTTCGTTTTTAATGTAAAAATGAATAATTAAATGAATAATTAAATACTTTTTTAAAATGTACTTCATATTGTTTTACATACTGTGTTTAAATTTATATTGAAAGCCATTTTGAGTTCCATTTAGGGAAAAGCAGCATATAAATCAAATCAACCAATGGGTCAATCATTAGGCCCCTTTCTGTATTTAAGCACTCATTAAATAGGACTTCCAATTAACCACTAAGTCTTAGGGCAGAGGTCCTCAAATTAAGGCCCGGAGGCCAAATACAGCCCTCCAAGGTAATTCCCCGGCTCTCACTCAAGGTCAACCTAAGTCAGACATGACTTGAAAGCACACAACAACAGCAACAACAATCCTATCTCATCAGCCAAAAGCAGGCCTACACTTCCCATTGAAATACTAATGTTTATATTTATTAAAATTGTTCTTCATTTTAATTATTGTATTGTATGTGCTTTTTGCACTACAAATAAGATATGTGCAGTGTGCATAGGAATTCATTTTTTCAAACTATAATCCGGCCCTCCAATAGTTTGAGGGACTGTGACCTGGCCCTCTGTTTAAAAAGTTTGAGGACCTCTGTCTTAGGGTATGTCTACACTATTGACTTAATGAAATTTGACACCACTTTAACAGGCATGACTCAATATTATGAACTTATGAGAGTTGTAGTCTTACAAGGCATTTAGCCTTCTCGGCCAAACAGTGTTGATGCCTCACCCACGCTATAAATCCTAGGATTCCATAACATGCAATCATGGTAGTTAAAGTGGTGTAAAACTGCATTATTTCTACAGTGTTGATTCACCATCTGTTGTTCTAGACCAGTGGTTCCCAACCTCTTGGTGCAGTGTACCCTACTAAGCTCCTTTTAGACCTTCCACGTGAAGCAGAATTCCTCAAGTCAGATAAAAGCAGATGCTGCAGAGCTATTTTACTGTGTGGATCATTTTATAGAAACACCAGTACTTAAAACACATGAATTTTGTGCTTTTCTGGCTAGCGGATATAGTGGATCTGCAATCACTTTTTCCCCAACGTGCCAGTGACCAGCACCATATTTCTGCCAATTGATTGCAATTGTTTCTATCTTTTCTGGAAACTTGTTAGAAATAAACATAGCTCTTGGATATTGGCTGGTCCATAGACTTTTAGTGTACTACATGTTCCTAATTTGTTTTAGGGTGTTAAAGATGACAGAGAATCAAATTATATGCACCTAAATTTATCTTCTGTATATTTCTTTAAAATTACTTTCCTACCCAATATTTTACCTGCACATTTCAATACTACTTGTGTCATTTTAGTGCACTTCAACACAAACTTTCAGAGGCTATTAAACCTATTTACAGAAACAAAAAGCATGGTATACAAGAGTCCCATACTCCTTGTGAGAAAAAAATACTTTTACCTATGAAAGGTTGTACATTACGTATGTCTCAATCATAAAATACTAACCTCTCAACTCTTGGGCACTAATTTCAAATCCAGGGTATTATGTAACAATGGTAATTACACTCTCTATAAATGACACAAGTTCTGTCAGTATCTCCTCATTCATTAAATATGAAAAGATATACAGTGAGCTTGGTAGCTGCAGGGCTTTGATTCCAGGAGTCACCATGGACACTCAAATCAGTGGATGCTTAAATCCCATTATATAGAATGGTATAATAAAATGGTGTTCCTTTTATAAAATGACAAAATCAAGATCTGTCTTTTGGAATTTTTTTTGTTGGAAGCAAGGGGAATCTATTTTCAAGCGATGGACTATCAAGACTGGAGAGCCAGGATTGCTCGAGTCACATCAGCAAAGTTTCACTAATCTATAACAGTTCCACTCAAATTGGTATGCATGGACTGCTTACCATGGACTGGAGCAATCAGCTGTTTGCCTATACGAGAGTGTTTAGGAAAGAAACAAAGAACTATGGCCAATAGACACAAATACAATGCTACTCACTAGGCACACTGAAAAAAGAAAAATGTTAGTCTTCCGTTAAAGGTAGCTTAAAAAACACTGATCTAGAAGATAATTCTGAATTTCACATCTATAAAAAGCATGGCCTCTACCTTACACATGTCACTGGTAAGTTTGCCAGGAATAAGCAAAACTCAGTATACTCTCGTATATGCTTGCAGGAAAAAATCATACCCGCATATTTCTGACAATGATACACAGAAAACTGAGAAACAACTTACATTTTGAATGTCTATCACAAAGGGCTGACGAACGCATATCACAGAGACGTATAGTTCCTTTGCTACTGCTGTAGACAAATACGTTACAATGATGAGGGTGGAATTCTGCTGCAGTTATGACCTCTGTCAGTTCTTCCATGTTAGCAGGTTTTATATCTACAATGTCTGAAAGTTTACTTGTAAAGGTTAACATTATATTGTTTTCAATTTCCACTATTTTCCAATACAGGGATTCAGGGTAGCTTACAACCAGAATAGATTAGTAGTACGGAACATTAAGAAAATATAGAGTGTTGTTTCAGAAAGTAGTTAAACCATTAAAACCATTAAAAAATTCACTAAAGACAAGATATAAACAGCAAAGTAACACATCTGTAAAAGCCTACTGTAGTGAATTCCTGAATAAAAAATCCTGTTGTAATCGAAGTTTTTGCTTGCTGGCAAGATAGCAAGGAGGAAGCCATGCTAATCTCCATGTACTCCCAACTGTACATGGGAAGGTGGGAAGACTGAGAGAATAGTGTCCTCAAACAACCTTAGATTTCTTTCTGGTTCATATAGGAAGATACTATACTCCAGATATTCTGAATGCAATCAACATATAGGCCATAACCCGACTTTTAAATTGTGCCTGGTAATGGACTGGCAGCTGTAGAGGAAAGGCAGTCGCATACTCTCTGTAGCCAGTCCTATGCCTGCAGCTAAATATGAAACTGAAATTTCTGAGTGCCTTTTAAAAGCATCTCCATAAAGCACATAACAGCAATCCAAATAAGATGTGATAAAATGTAACTTGGTGGCCAGATCAGACATTTTCAGCTGGCACATTAAGTTCAACTGTGAAAATGCACTCCTTGTCACTTGGGCTTGCAGACTCAGAGTTGAGTCCAGGAACTTGACCAAACTGTGAACCTTCACCTTCAGGAGTAGTGTAATTCTAACCTGTACAATGCTGAATCTCAATTCCTAGATCTGCTTTTTTTATTGACCTATAATTTGCGCTCATCCAATTCATTACAGGCACATATTTAGCATGGAAACAGCTCCCCAGGAGTTAGGCGAAAAGTAGTAATAGAGCTGGGTAGTATCAGCAAATTGATTCCTCGCCAGTCATAAAATATAGGAAGATGAAATTTCTAAAAGAAGGGTGGGTGAAGTAGAACACACGGGCCTCATGTAGCCTCCTAGGGTGGTTTATGTAGCCTCCAATTTCCCCTTCTTTTGTTCCAAATACCCCTAAATGACCTATAGTGGAGGGCAATTCCTAGACTTTTAAAGCCGCCCTCCCCCCCCCCGCCCCGGTCAAAACGCGTTTTTGTGACTTTTAACCTCAAATATGATGAGCATGCCGTCGTGTCCACTAAAGGGTGTTTCAAGGCATTTTTGGGGGTTGAGGAAACAATTAAGAGTGTGGTCCCCCAAGGTTTCCTGGGGAATGGTGCACTAAAGACCGCTCCTAGCCTTCCACAGATTTCCACTCCTAGTCTAAAATCAACAGCTGAATTTTTTAAAAAACATTGTTTTAAAATTACTTTATCGGTGTTTTACATTACTGTTATTGTCTGAAGGATTGGTGGCTTCGCAACAAAACTTGTTATTTATCAAATTACAGTACCTATTAAGAGATTCGACATACAGAATACAAAGTATAATACAACATGGTTTTCCCATCCTCATTTGAATCAAGTTTAACTGCATTGCATATAAAATTTACATAAATTTTGCATGGCACAGCCAGTCTTCCAAAGCTCAGTAACACGCAGAGTTTGAACCAGATCAAAATCCCACTGATTTCAGAGAATGACTGCTGAGATATGGATCTACTGATTGACAGAAGGGGTGAGACACTCAGAGGTCTAAGATCACAAGCAACCCTCAGCCTACTTCAAGTCTTCTGCTAATTAATTACTTCAGACCATTGGCAAAAAATATCTGTTCTACTTATTTCAATGTGCTGGGCAACTAGAAGTAACACAATGGCAGACAGATAGAGAAAATGTGTGCCTCTGCCCATTTTGGGTCTGACCCATGACAGAAGATTATCCCAAATGATCATGAACAAAAGAAAGCTGTCTATTGTGGTAATACCATGTCCAAGCACAGCTCTAGCATACGTGAAAATTAGTTTTAAAAATGGGTAACAGAATAATGGAATAGAGTAAATTACAAGACTCCCGATTATTTCTCATTATTTTGCAAGTTAACATCCAAACTATAAAGCACCAGCTTTGTTTATATAAATTGTCTTCATGCAAAATCAGAACTTCTGAGTATCTAACAGAAATTGACTGAGTAGATTAAAAGACTCAAAACAACACAAAAGCCTACTCACACCGCTGTGAGTCGCCCCCGGGCTGAGAACAGCGGTATATAAGCAAAGTAAATAATAAATAAATAAATATTTAGTAAAAGCTTTCAAGATATTACACTTCTACCATATTTAGTTTCAAAAAGGATACTAAAACTTCTATCTGTGATTTCTAAATGCCACAGGTTGATTCTTAGGTCATCAGCAGAAAGGTATGTTTCATGATCACTATTTACTGAAATAGAGTTTATGTGATACGTGTGTGCATTTGCAAATATCCTTCGGGGACTCGCTTCTACCATCAGGTCCATAGGTTTCAGTATTGGCACCTAAAATGGAGAAAGGAACAAAAGTTGGCTTTTGCATAAAACAGCAATTATTGTGGCTATCAGAATTTAAAGAATTATAGCTAAAGTTTCAATGATAAATTTCAATTTAACCACAAGTCAAGTCAGTGTCCTAAGAATCTGGCTTGCAGTTAATCATTTTGGAAGTTATAGTGTATGCAATACCCTTTCCCCCAGACTGGCAGTGAATGTGAGTATCCTCAGAAGTAAATCCTATTATATTAAGTGGATCATCACTACACACATATGGGTAGAAGATCAGACTCTGAAGATGGTGTTAAAGAGGGATGACTAGCTAAATTATCACTGTTTTAATATTTATAACATTTACATATACTTGCTGTGTAGATTAGTACTGTACTTTTCTCACCAGCTGTAAGGGAAAGCATGGAGTTTCTTAAAATGTGAAAGTATCAACCTACACAAGTACTTGCTAATTTTAGGCTTCATGTAGATTTAGTCATATTTAGAGCAAGCTCACTGAAACAAATGGAACGTTAACCATGACAAAATGACACTAATATTTTGGATCTATTGTAAATTGTAATTTTTTTTGTATTGTATTGTAAATGCGACTATGTTACGATCCAACCAGATCCAAGATCATTTATAATGACAATGCTTAGAATGCGATTTTTCTGCTTCTTGGCAGGGGGTTGGACTGGATGGCCCATAAGATCTTTTCCGACTCTATGATTCTGAGAATGACCTGTCATTGAATCCAATTTCAGTAGCATCTCCCTGACAAATTAGTGTAGCTTCAGCATTTAAAGCCTTGAAACAATATACAAGGGTTATCCAGAAAATAAGGTTACAAGATTTTTTAAAAATGCAAAGATTGAATATATTTTAATAAAACTTGTGTGGATTGTAGCATAGGTATTACATTATTTTTCCTCATAATCACTATTCAGTTCAATACATTTTATCATGCGTGGAATGAGTTTTTGATGCCTGTGTCATAGATATTTCCCTCCGCCTTTTTCAGCCAATTTGTGACTTTGATTTTCCCCTCATTGTTGTCGGAAAAGGGGTTTCCACTAAGGTGTTCCTTCAATTTAGTGAACAGCTGATAGTCACTGGGTGCAAGATTGGGGCTGTGAGAGGGGTGGCTTAAAACATCCCAACCAAATGAAGTCAACAATTCTTGTGTTGCATGAGTGGTGCGGACGCGCATTGTCATGAAGGAGACAGACTCCTACCATCAGTATCCCACGATGTTTAATTTGGATGGCTCTGCAAAGTTTCTTCATGGTCTCACAATACATTCCGTACCCATTTTGTCACATGCAGTCTTGACATTATGTTCTCTCCATAAACTGAAACGATTTCGCGATGAATCTCAGTGGAGTTCATGCCCTTAGTGTTTAGGTTTTCAGGCAGGGCAAACTTCGTACTTGGAGGGAAATGGAATGAGGGCGCTCATCTCTAGCCTTTACCACAACGCCAATCGATGAGCTGCTGATGACTGGCACTGCTCATTTGCTTCCGCTGGCTGCCCGCTACACGACAGTGATACCAACTTCACCCATGAAAATTCCCTGTGAGAGCTACATGCCTTGTAACCTTACATCCTGGATAACCATCATACAATGCAATGTTAATGGGGGGGGGGGGAGAAGAGGGGGAATATCTTTCGCTTTGAATATATCCTAATCCAGATAATTTCCAAATAATGCTGTTAATACCAATGTGCCTTTATAGACAAATGCCAGTTTACAATGCCTCTTTTGTACAGTTAAATTATTGTCAAAATATTCAATATTTCAGATACTGAATGTTTCCTTTGCAGACTTCATTTTATAAACAGAAATTAGGAGAAAGTACACAGGCTATACACATCCAAATAAATAAATTAACATAACATGACTATAGAACTACGTGTGCACCAAGACTTAATTTTTCTCTGACAAACACTCCTGCAAGACCTGCCATGCCATTTTTAATATTAAAAACCTTTCTAAGTTTGAGTATACAATAAAACTACTATTCCATATAAATTTTTTGATGTTACTGCTGCAAAATAACTGGCACCAACACTATTAGATTTCATTTAAAATCAGGAGAGCAAAATACCCGGAGTGCTGTGATTCTAAATGGATCTCGGAGTCTTCCATCTTCATCTTTTAAGTTATACCCTTCAGCTCTTTTATCCCTTTCACTGATTTTCCATAATTTAATAGTTTTATCTAAAAGAAGAGGAGAACATTTCAAACTGTAGAAATCCAAATAACAACATATTACCTTAGTATAATAGACATTCATTATTTTATCTGTTTGCAAACATTGTATAATTTCCAAGTTGGAATAGGCTTTTGATGAAGACAAGATGGCTTATACTCCACACAATTCTTCCACCAAATCTTTACTCTTGTGAATGCATAATTTCTTTTAGGTAACATACTTTTCAAGTCTTATTATCCTGAGAAACAGGGGTCCACAATTTTTTGAAAAGTTTTGTGGCACATTTGCCATCACTGCGGCAGAGAATCTAGAACAGGAGGGGACTCAATACTATTTCACAGAGGTGGCTTTTAGAAAAAAGAAACAGTATGCAAATCTTCCCATAATTTCCAAAGTGAAGCAAAACCCACTACTTTATACAGGTATGGGTCTCTTTCATGTATATGCACAGGACTTCGATGAGAGGATAGTGTTTCAAGGAAAGATTTGTAGTGCAGATTTCATGCCTCTCCCTCAATGTGCATGGGAGTGCCTTAAGTACTGTTTAATTTCCAGCATGGAAGAAAATGGAACAGGTCCCTTCTGTGCCTTCTAGACAAAGTGAGTGGGAGGAGATACTGGTGGCTTGGTAAAGGGATTTTTGAGAGCCAATTCCATAGTTATTCTAATAGTAACAGGGAAGAGCAAAGCTCTATGGAAGATGCTGTGTTCCTGTTCCAAAGTACCATGCACTTCCAAGGATATTGTTGTAACTATATGTGGATGTGGACCAACGTTTGGGTTGAAAAGAAGTAACTGATTTTTAGAAAGTTTGATTCCAACTCTGATACTGCCATTTTGATAGCAATTTTTTAATACACAAAATTCAGAATGATGTAGTGTATGGGCTTCTTATTCGTGTCTGCTAAACTGTAACTTCTTTAGGGAATGTGCATCAGTTGCTTTATAACTGAATACAGAAATGCATTAGGCCACAAGCATTTAAATTACGTCAGGAGTGCCTCTAAGAGCTTGAACAATGAGCTTGTGTTCCAGCAGTGCCTGCCACAATAATCTGAACAACTACAGATTTTACAATGTAAGTAAGCAACTAAGAACCCTTCTCCACAAACAAGATTCTTTCATAAGATGTATCTCAGTCAATATCGTCTTAGACTATCTTCTTTCTGATAAAATGCACACGGTTTTTACAAGGTAGGTTTGAAATAAATAAAAAATGGTTCCTTTAAATATTAAATATTCAAATATTTTCATTATGTTACAATTTTATTATAAAGATGTTATTGTAAAAACAAAATATTTTTTATTAAACTATATTTTTAAAAGACCCTGATTGCTATTTTAAAGAAAACTAAAACAAAAAATACACAAAAATCTAGATCGATTTGATTATGACTGTTGCAGCTTATAATGAGAAATAATCTTCTGGAGCTATAGCGAACAAAGAACAAGAAAGAAAGATACAATTCAGTCACACTCCATTCCACTGTGAGGGTCATGCTCTGATGAGAATCAGAGTATACTAGCAGTGCTTCTTGCACCTCTTGAAGTGAAAAGTGTCAGTTCAGCAAAATATAGTATCAGACCTTAAATATTTAATGAAAGCTTGTTTAGTAGTCAAGCATACAGCACAGCTCAATCTGTAAGGGTTTAGGCCTTACTGAAAAAGATACAATTGAGCTTTATTTAAAACATTACATATTATTTACCCAATATACTCATGTATAAATCTAAAACTTTTAGTAAAAAAAATCAACCTCAAAAATCTGGGTTGACTTAGGTCAATATGAGAACTGTAGTTTAACTCATTATCAACAAACAAACCATCCTCCTCTGTGAGTCATATCAAAATCTGTAATTTTGGCCCCCAAATCTTCCCTTGACTTATACATGAGGTTTACTTATATGTGAGTATATAACGTAAGCGAAAGACATAGCCATGGTAGTTCTCAAGTAGTCTATTAAACAAAGTTAGATAATTAAAGAATTTGTTATAAGAAAACTTATGCTAGCAAGAGTTGTAGTAACTCAACAGAACAATATTCTTACCATTTGTAGATAATAAGAAGTGAGCAGCATTTTGTTGTGGTAACCACCTAATTTTGTTAATTTTTTCCTCAATTTCTAGACTTTTCAAGTAGTCAAACTCAGGTTCATGACTCTGAAACGTACTGTAAACATTATATTCCCCCCTTGAATGAGGACGGCTTTTATTCTGCAAGGAAATAAGTGTAAGAATAGAAAAGAATTGGTAACATTTTCAAACTTAAGTGGGTGAGTTGAAAAGACTACAACCAATGAAGTCATATAGCTCTGAGTTACAGCAGGTGTTTTTAAAGGATTATCTGAATGTTTTAAGCAAAATAATTACACCTCCCATTTGGGTGTTTATTTGTTTGGTGAGGTCTCTTAATTCTTAAGTGATTCAATCATATATTCTTATTATGATTTTGCTTTAACTAACCGTTTGTATGATTCATCACTTATGGAATTAAAACTGAAACCTTAGATTTCAACAAATCCCATGCAGAGCAGCAAGTAGAGTGCTGAGACTGCTTTTGGAGATAGCGTTTCTTACTTGCATCTTATGAACAGGAACCTATTTAAATAAAATTCCAAGCAACAATTCAGAATATGATTATGAAAGGTATCCATAGGGCCAATCTGATTGTCTTTTGCTCCATTTCAGGATGAATATTCAGCGATAGTTATGAATGATGGCATTCGTCTTTGGGAAAAAATCTTCTAGGTGCATTAAATTATTAGTGTGGCTTTCTTGTCCTGTGGCCAAAATTGGCATACAGCTTTGGCATGAGGATTTAGATGCTTAGAAGTTTCTGTTTAGAATGAATCAATTACTATAATAACTGCCATTTAAAATTACGAGCCGCTATATTCATTCAGGAAAAAAACGGCCTTTTAAAAATCCTTGATCAACCGCATAAAGTACTAATTTATTCCTCAACATCTCTTAAACAAGATGTCTGAGGAAACAAAGGTTGTTTTCCCACCTTTTCTATGTTTGATTATGGATCAACATTAATGCCATTTAAAGATTGGGATTTTAAAAGAAAAATGTGAGGAGTTTGCATGAACAATCCAGACAAAAATACTACATTCCCTGCTATTAGTTTCAAGTGTCAAGTCCAATTTTAAAAACAATAATAGCACAATTATTTATAAAGGTACACACTAAGTTGATGAAGTTATGTCATTTATTTTAAATGCAAACTACAGATAAAGTTTAACTACCACTTTTCATTGTTTTTAATGGCACTGACCTCTGGTTCCCTTTGAAATATAACCACTCTGCCACCTTTGTCTCCTGTTGCAAGAAGATCTCCAGAGTAATTAAATTCAACTGTTGAGATAATGTCAGCTGTAAACATAAAACAAATACAAAAAATATATAATGAGTAACTGAACTAGGTGGTTTAGGAATCAAATTCACAATTAATAGGCAACCATTATTCATTAATATGCTTGCTGACTTTCAACATTAATGTTAACATTGTCTACCCTTTTCAAGCCTTGATCACCCTTTAAATATTTCAATAGTAGTCCCAATTACTCGAGGAATTCATATAATGAACACAGACTCTAAATCTTGGTATGCAACATCAGGAATTTGGACAAAGCAAGACACTTTCTGGAAATTTACAAGCATTTTAGGGAATCATGGATGGTCAATATAACAATGGCCCACTATGTATAACAGCAACTCCCTCTCAACAGTAACTTAATAGAAAGCAACGTAAGAGCAGCAAGTTAGCTTAAGTTAACAAAGAGATTCCTAATAGTGAACATTGCTTAAAAGCCCTAGAAGTCCGGCATCCCCCCCCCCCCCCCCCCGCTTGAGAGATACACGGGAATAGTCACTTTAGTGACTATTAGTGTTAACCTGGTGTGACAACAATCCTATAAAAATCTTGTTTTCCACTAAACTGATATAAAAACATCAAGACTGTATAAGAAGCTGTTGAACTACGGATCTTATTACAACTTTCAAAATGTAAAATATGCGGTACATAATAAAATTTGACGCCATTGCAAATGGAATGAATGAAACAGAGTAATGGTACAGATGCACAAATTATTTAAGTTACACACTTGTTAATTCACCAGTCGGCATTCTTGAAAATGACTGGATGAGGTGCAAAATAGAAGAATAGAAGAATTCTCCAAGATATACAAGTAATAGCCAGGGAAAGGGAAATATTCTCTTTTCTTCAATAAGCAGGCTTTTTTTAAAACATCAGGGCTCATCCAGGGCAATTCATCCATTCCAGTTAATTCCAGAAGGAAAGTAGTTTCTATACTTGAGCTCTGTCAGCAAAGTGGTCACAAGACACTGCAAAAACTCACCTGTACCTACAGATTGTGAGATATATTTTTATATTCGTTTTGCTAGAAGAACCACTTTTTAAAAGGCAGAACTGTGCTTGACAGCAAGTAAAGAACCCCACTTGTACTATATCTCATACTATTTCAAATTCCGACCCTAAAATTAAGTGCAAGAGCACTTTCCTCCTACTAACTTAAATGAAAAGGGGGTGGGTGGAGTGGGGAATAGCCCATGGGCTTCCTCTCCCATATCATCACGACAAAGCACAGAAGTATACTGCAACTCCAGAGTAAATGTAGCACACTATCACCAGTACCCAAACCCATAACTCAGGCAAATTATGCAGCTGAGGGTCCCTTCTCTGGACCTATGTCATGAAAACCTAGAGCACACACTAAGATAATGGCATAATGGCACTTTACAGACAGGCTGGACCACCATATGTATGCAGCCCTTGAAATGCAAGGTGTTTTTTTTTTTTACATTATTTCAATGCAAAAAGATTAGAAATGTAACACTGAAGAACACAAATCCTCACCCTTGGCATTAGCACAATTATGATCCTTGTACTAATCTTGTGATTTTTTAAAAATGTGCTCAGGGAAAAAACCCATAAATGAAGCACTTGCTTATTACAGCACTCTTCCATCAAAATGTGTATAGACTTCCACAGCCTTTTGTCAGAACAATGCATGTGCCTCAATGTGGTCTGCATATGTCAGGCACCCATTTCATACTGTCGCCATTTCTTCTTGATTGAACTATCACATACCATCCAATTGAGTCACTAGATAAATCTGCTCTATCCAATGAGAAATACTACACATGCCACAATGTACACAGAAGACAATCTGAAGTCAAAATAGGTATAACCTCTTCAGCTATATGTGAACAGGCTATTAAATAAGTTTGCATTTTTTAAAGAAAGCCCAACTAGAAAGCATTTTTTCAGCCTTATCTGATTAATTCAGCTTCAACTGAATTAATCATTCTACTTCCTTCAAACTGAACTACTATAACGTATTGTACATGAATGCCACCGAAGCCTCTTTGGGAACTGCAGTTAGATCAAACACAGCTGCCAGATTACTAACTAGATTCAGCACAGGGACCATATATAGTCAGTTCTTAATTTCAGTAGCTGCTAATCTGTTTCTGAGCACAATGAATGATGTGGCTTGGGACCTGAATAGCTAAAGGACTGTCTGCTCATGAATCTGCACATACAGTAAGAATAGCCTTGGAGGCACTTTTCCTAAGGTTTCAACCTCTAAGGGGCAAGTAACATTGATTTACAATGTCCTGGCACTTCATGCCACTTTCAGCTATTTTTTCAGTATAAGTAAAGACACCCCAACCCCATGTTTTAAAGCTCCTACTGAACTGATTTTATTATGCAGTTTTTCTGCACTTACAGATAGATGTGTCATCTGCTTCTAGTAGTCTTGCAGAAATATTAATAATCAGGGCAATGCACACTTTTTGAAAATATTCTTAGAAATGTATGTATATAATTTCTCAGTATATCTTGTAATGAAACTTTCAAAATAAAACACTGTGAAGATATGGCAGGCCAAATTTAAAATTCAAGGAAACTGAAAGGATATAACAATTTCCTGAATTAATAATAATGTGGCCAAATATTTCTTGTAAATATAAACACTACACAGAGCTTCTAAGGACTTTGTTTGCCAAAATAAAATTTAAAATTATTAAATCAGTTGACCCAAAAGGTGAAGTTGCAGTGATGAACTTTTTCATATAATAGCAATGTCCTGCTGAGAAAACGGTCTTTTCCAAAAATATACATTCAAAGAAGAGTATTTCATATAAGTATACTAGTTTGTACTGTCTGTAGAAACACTTTGCTGTGGTTTTTCAAAAGCCACATATCATTAACTTTGTCTTACGATGATACCATGTCCAACTGTGTGAAATATTTTCAAAGCACAGCATGACTCCACTATCTGCAGTTTTGCCTACTTATATCCACATAGCCAACAAAATATACCCTAAGAATCTTCTAGGTCCTCCAGGGCAACGTAATGGTAACTTGAAGGAAGCTATTCATTTCAAAAAGGTTTGCTATTATACAGTTTCCTATTTCCATGATAGGTTCAGGAATGTATCCTCATAGATATGGGAGTTTTACTGTAAGTGACAAGAGACCCACAGCAAGCATATGACCCGACTCTCCTGACTTTTTCTGTACAGAGGTAGACATGTTTGTTGATTGCGCTTCAGAAAATTTTAGTGGTATATTTTCTTTATCAAAGACCTCCTTAGTATTCCTTCAATTTTTTGGTGAGCTTTTAAATAGGGGTCACCAAACCCACCTAAGCTTACAGCCAAGTACAAACAGTCCACTTTCAAGTTTGACAAAGGTTAGCATTAGTAGGTCAGAACATGAAATATAGCAAGAGCCCTATATCCAAAGACTCCACAGCAAGTAACATCATCCTAATAGAATACAGAAGAAATATTAGCAGAAAATGTAATAGAGAAAAAATGTTAAATCCCATACATCAACGGGAAAAAGTCTACTGTTTAAAAAATCAGTTACACCTTCCATGTTTCTTCAAATGCATCTCTATGTTGGATGCAGAGCAATAACCAAGGATGGAATATATGTAAATATTGATTAGTGTTGCAAGCCGATACTTCTCCAAAAGAAGACTACATAGTCACTGGTGAGATGTAGAGCTCTTTTAGCTACTATATAAGTCTGTCTATCAGAGATGTCTACACTGAAATTACAGAGTTATGACAGGGATGTAACAATTAGGGGAAAAAATCTACCTCTCTTTAAACCACCATAGAGTTCGACTAATACATCACTTGTACTTTCTATGAATTGAATTCAACTTATCCTTGCTAATCTGGCTACATCAACTTGAGGCTAATTCTATAAAGAGTGAGCAGGACTTATATGATTCCTGACTGAAGCAATCTGCTATTAATGGTACATTCCAAAAGTGAGGTTTTATGACAGGATCAGATTGGACATATTACAATACCCCTAATGCTAACAAGGGCAATTTGGTTGTTACCTGCCATGGCAATTACCTGGGTTATTAAACCAATCCCATTTCTGGTCATTTCTGCCTTTCCTTATTTTATTTCAAATTAATATAAATTTCCATAATCCATGTTTAATAGCACTTCCACAAAGTTCCTACAAATGAAAACACAGCAACAACCTTTGTGTCCAATAAAAAAGCACTTCTAAGCTACCCCGAAGGCATTCACACCATATTATTTCTTTTTGATTGGAAATAATGATGGAGAGATCATTTTCAGCACTGTACTGAATTTGACAGAACGGCCCCACAAAGTTGGCGTCCTTATTTATACTTTTAAATGTATCTTCATCCTATTCCCTATAGTCAGAAAGCATAATGGATCCTTTTAATGAAATTCAATGGAGCACTAGCTATTTAGAACAATTGACAAATTTTCACATAGTCAAACAAGACTATTTTCTTGGGCATACTTTGTAATTATACTCAGTGATTTGCAGATTTATAGAAAACTACACACATACTATTGCAGTAGTTTACATCTTCTATCCTAGTTTGACATCAGTAATTTCTTCAAGAATGTTTGTAGCATTTATTTTAACCCAATCTGAGCATTACAACTTTCACTCTAAACATCTTTTACATTTTTAATATTTTCAAAGGTATGAGGAGCAAGAAGTTCTAAGAATTAGTAGTGACAAGACAACATCATAATAATATATTTTCCCTAGTGCATATTACAGCATTGGAGGAATTAATCAATAATTTCCCAAACACGAGACAAAAGAAAGATGAAAATCTGTCAGAACAGCAGTGTTGTTGTGCTTCTGTCTCTGTAAGTAGTCAGTCAGCAACACAACTTTGACGTTAAATGCCCCTGTACCCATATTTAGACACATGGGGGAAGTTTGGTAGTATAAAATAACTTGCCTGAATGAAATGAACTTTCATATTCTATCTTGTTTCAAAATAAACTCATAATCCTATTGCTGGCAGTGGTGTATTAGATTGTAT